TTCATTTTTTTTTTTTTTTTTTTTAACCAGTGATTCAGTGTCATTTTCTCCTAGCTGTTTTTTTTAACGAATGGTTTTCCGAGGCCTGAGGGGTGAGATCGCATTTCTGTTTTGCCTGTGCACTTCCTGCCTGCCATCACAAAATCCCCCTCCTATAATCAAGGGGTGGCCAGCCAGTCTTGGGCTGCTGAGCCCCAAAACGCTCTGTGTGGCTGACCTCTCACCAGTCGGGCACAGCTGTCTGCTTTCCCCTTTGCACTAAGCCAGATCAGCTTGCTCTCTGTGACTTGGAGGCCCTAGTGCTGCATCGTGGAAATGACTCCTCCTCCCTCCAGCCAGCTGCAGCCTTAGTACTCGGAGCAGCTGTGACCTCATAGGATGATAGAGAAACCGCCGTTTACACAACCTTCCCAGCAGCCCAGCAGTTCCTCTGTTATTTGCTTCCCACATCAGGGGAGTTTCCCATCCTCCTTGGTGGGCGAAGCCCTCTGACCCACACAAGTTCGGAGACGCCCTGGAGTCCAGCCCTCACACAGAAGGTTAATCGTCATGGGAGCTGTGGTGTCAGAGTGGGTGCTTCCTGTAGGCAGCGTCTCCTGACCGCACACAGTGCTCTTCAGTCTGCCCCAGGTCTCCTGTCCAGGGAGCCAGTTAGCAGGAGATAGAAGTCCACCCTGGTGCCACGGGGCCCCTGTCCCTCACTGGATTACTGATCCCCAGCAGACACACTGGGCTGTCCCAGACTCCTCCATGGCCACATCTCCTTCATAGCCCCAAGCACAGCATTTGAAGTTGATCAGTTTTCTCAGCTCAATCTACTAAAACCTCTAAAATGCCTCCCTGTCCTGCCTTGCTGCTCAAGTAGGTTGAGTCCGTGGAATTCAATGTATGGGACATCGGGGGCCCTGCCAGCATGGCCACTGTCAACCAGTGCTTCTTCACGGACAAGGCTCTGTACTTGGTGGTCTGGAATCTGGCGCTGGGGGAGGAGGCTGTGGCCAGCCTGCAGTTCTGGCTGCTCAACATCGAGGTGAGACGCACCAGCTGTTCTCTTCTGTCCTCAGTCCCCAGAGTATCACAGGAGTCCCCACCACTACTCCAAGAGCTCCCTATACTGAGCAAAGGGATCATATCAGGCAGAAATGCTATGCATTTTGAGGGGCTTTCACAGAGCACCCCAGAATCATGATCTTGCCTGACTTTCACAGTGGAGCTCTCAAACTCCTTTCTAACCTGAGGATTGGGGCACCCTTATAATTTTCTTGTTTACTTTAAATTTAGGGAACCCCCCCACACACACATACACCCTGGATGCCAAAGAGGGTATTGTAGGCCCCTGGTCTCAGGTTGGCATGGAATTTCTGAAGCTTCAGATACCTTCCCTGTGCAGCACCCCCTGCATGGAGGAAGTTGTGGGGATCCCCAAGACCTCTAAGTGCATCGCAATCCCTTGAGATGGCAGGCTGCAGGGTGGTGACTGAGCATCCAACCCTGGCACACCTGCACTCCTGGGAAGCTGTTTGCTGGCCCTTATTCACCAGATGAGGAAGGGCTCAGCTATGGGGTTTTCTGTCGCAGGCCAAGGCCCCCAATGCTGTGGTGCTGGTGGTTGGAACACACCTGGATTTAATCGAAGCCAAATTCCGAGTGGAGAGAATTGCAACTCTGCGTGCCTATGTGCTAGCCCTGTGCCGTTCACCCTCAGGGTCCAGAGCCACTGGCTTCCCAGACATCTCTTTTAAACACTTACAGTGAGTCCTCCTGTTCACACCAGCCACTGTGTACATGCCGGCCGCTGAGTTGTCTGTGTTCCCTGGTCTGTCTGCACAGGTCTCCTGGGGCTGGCTGGGTGCCTCTGGGTGGAGTGTGATGCCTTAGGCAGGGTGTAGCCCTGTGGCCAGTACCATGGGACTAAGTGATGGGAACTCAGGTACCACCCATCCCACTCGTAGATCAGCAGAGCCCGGGGAGTCATGTTGAGGCCACCCAGGGCTGTTGAATCTGGAAGGAGATAGTCTCGGGAAGGGGCTGCTAGAGTGGAGAGGGATGAGCCACCTGGGCTTGTCACCCTGCTCACCTCTGTCTTTGGAATTTCACCACAGCATGAAGGTCATAGGGGCTATTGTACCCACTTTGCAGACAGTGAAACTGAGGCTTCATAAATGAAGCAGGCAGTCTCCTGATGATAATAGAGAGGGCACTGCTGCCACTGCATGGTGGTCCCGGGTTCCTTTCTCTACATAGTGCCTTGGATGCCGATTTGGGAGGCAGCCTGGGACCTCTCATCTGGCTCTGCATACAGGAGCAGGCTTGGGTGTTCCTGCTATGGCCTGAGGACACCTGAGGGTCTGTGACAATAACACTGGCACCAGCCCAGAGCCCTAGGTCCAGCCTGAGTCTGCCACTTCCCAGCTAGTATCCTCAGAGGTCACCTTGTACCTCAGTGCTTCACCTACCTCCTCCTAATATGGCCATGAGGGGAAGACAGTCCAAAGCGAGTATCTCCAGGCACCCTGCAATGCGCTTTGCACGAGAAGGGCATCCGTAGACCTCTTGTGTCTTCTTTCATGAGTTCCCCACATTTCCCGGTATGGAGGACAAACCTCGGGAAAACAGAGAAGCCACAGGCCTCTTCAGAGTGCATGACTAAGCTCGCATCTTCTTGCACACAGTGAGATCTCCTGCAAGAGCCTGGAAGGCCAGGAGGGGCTGCGGCAGCTGATCTTCCATGTCACGTGCAACATGAAGGACGTGGGCAGCACCATCGGCTGCCAGAGGCTTGCGGGGAGGCTGGTGCGTATCCAGAGGAGCCCGCTTCCCACTGTGGGGAGACCCTCTCCCTTTCGCTCTCTGTAAAACATGTCTGTGTCTAAGGGTCCGCAGTTCCAAGTGGGGCTGGGGAAGGATGGAGGGATGGCGGGACAGAGGGTCCTCAGGTTCAGACCAGGGGCCAGGATGCCTTGGGCTGGAGGGACCCAGCCACGGCCACCTGTCCCCAGATCCCCAGGAGCTACCTGAGCCTGCAGGAGGCTGTGCTGGCGGAGCAGCAGCGCCGCAGCCAGGGAGACGATGTGCAATATCTGACGGACAGGCAGCTGGAGCAGCTGGTGGGGCAGACGCCCGGCAACGACATCAAAGACTACGAGGACCTGCAGTCTGGTGGGCCTGGGGCAGGCGTGCGGTGGGCACCTGTGCAGGCAACTCTGGAAGCCTGGGCAGAGAGCCGGAGTGCGCAGGGAAGGAAGGGGGCATGTGTACCATGGAAAGGAGCCTTCTACCCTTGAGAGCTGTGGTCTGACCCTCAGCACACGGGGTGACAGGCTCTGCGTGAGACCCAGCACCCTGCCTGTGTCCTGCCTCCCTTTCTCCTTTCCTTGGCTTCTCCTTCCTGCCTCGGTTCCTGCCTGTCCTTTCCCTGGGAAAAGAGAACACTCACAGCATTTACAGCAGCGTCTGGATGGGCACTGAGGGCAGACAGGGGCTGACCATCGACGAGGGGAGACAGAGGCTAAACATCTGCTGCCCACCCTCATCGTTGATGGCAGTTGTGGTGACAACCACTGAGTTGGTGAATGGGAAACCACTGCGGAAGTACAGGGCCGGGTCCCTCTGAAGCTCCGGACGCAACAGTTTTATCAGCTAATCATGATTTGACCTTGTATCGTGCACACTAACAGGCTGCTGCTTCCTCTTTTTCCTCTCCTCCTCCTCCTCCTGTTCTTTTGTAGTAAATGGGGGTTGAACCCACAGCCTCTGCCCTGAGTTATATCCCCACCACTTTTGGGTTTTTTTTTTTTGGTACCAGGGATCAAACTCAGGTCCTTGCGCTTTGCAGGGTCCTTGCACTTGCCAGGCAGGCGGCGGAACCACTGAGCTAAATCCCCAGCCCTCTGCACCACTTTACATTTGAGACAGGATCCCACTGAGTCACAAAGTTGCCCATGCTGGTCTCAAACTTGGACCCCTTCTGCCCCAGCCTCCCATAATGCTGAGATTGCAGGTGTGCGCCGCCATGCTCAGCTGGACTTCTGTGTTGAGATGCCTTATTTAATATATGTGGTGGATTCATTAGCACAGAATTTGCAGCCAACAGTGCCTGTAATCTGTGCCGGAACAGTGTTTGTTTAACATGAGTGTTTTCCCAGTAAAGCACATCACAATCTTCTCAAGCTAGAGAACACAGGCAGCACTTCGGCGCTAAGGACCTGAGAGTTAGTTTTCCACAGCTGTGCACGCATCTGCTGATGACTGACAGCACTGAGTATTGTATTTTAGGGCCTCAGGTCCATTTTGGCAGGTAGAGCAGTTTGCAGAGATGGGGTTCTAGAAGAAAAGGAATTGTCTGTAGTTGCCCATCAGCCCCCAGCTCAAGGTGTTGGCAAGAGTGCAGGGTCCCCTGAGGAACCTGAGCTCTGGCTGCCCACCCATCTGAAGGACCCAGCAGGTCAGGGATGCCAGTTTCCTCCTGGGAAGAGTTAGCGACCAGACCCGCTTGGGAACAGGGTCACCGCAGAGTCGCCTTTGTCCTCCAGCTAATGCTGCTCCCCTCTGGCCCTGGCAGCCATCAACTTCCTCATAGAAACAGGCACGCTGCTGCACTTCCCTGACACCAGCCATGGCCTGCGGAACCTCTACTTCCTCGACCCCATCTGGCTGTCAGAGTGTCTGCAGAGGATCTTCAACATTAAGGGCTCCCGCTCAGTGGCCAAGAATGGGGTGATCCGCACGGAGGACCTCAGGATGCTGCTGGTGGGGACGGGCTTCACGCAGCAGACCGAGGAGCAATACTTCCAGTTCCTGGCCAAGTTTGAGATCGCCCTGCCCGTCGCCAATGACAGGTAAAGCCACAGCTCGGCTGTGCTGGTGGCCCCTGGAAGCAGGGGTTGCTGTCTGTGGCCACTGGTGCCCTGAACAGTTTCCAGAGGTCTTGGCGTTGCTGTCACCATCCCAGCACCGGGGACGGGCCGGCACCTGGTTATGACCCCTCCTGTGCCCTGGGCTTCTCTTTCTAGGCAGTCAGAAGAAATCTGTTTATTAAAAAGGTTTGGGGAAACATGCAAGAATGGTGTTTGAAACACTTATGGGGGTTCATCCACCGAAGCTCGGGTCTCTCACATGAAATGGTGTCACGTTTGCATAGAACCTTCCCAACCCTCCATGCACTAAACCATCTGTAGATGCCTTAGAACACCTAAAACAGTGTAAGACAGCATTGTTTAGGGAATGACAAGGAAAAATCTGTACAAGTTCAGTACAGGCACAGTGTTTTAAAATATTTTTGACCTGAAGTTGTTTGAATCCACAGGTGTAGAATTCATAGATAGGAAAGGCTAACTGTGTAAGATTTTAGGGAGTGTCTCCCAGAAAGTTCTCAAGACATTTATTGGACTGAAATTGATTTATTTTGAGAAGATTAGGAGAGCTGAAGGCAAGGCCTTCGTTAAGAGTCCAGCTTTGCACACCCATGGGGCTGCCCAGGCTGTGCTGCCCCTGTCTGTGGCCACCCTGTACACACCCCGTGCCTGCCCCCAAGCTTCCTGGCTCAGGATGCCGGTGCATGCTTGGAAGGACCTCCCAGATTTCAGCTGTTCTCAAAGGACAGCAGACAGGAACACTGCTGTCACACGTAATGCAGCATTTTTACGATGACCGCGAGTCTTCTCATAAAATGTCCCACTTTTGCACAAAACAGCTGCATTCTAACTTTCAAGGCAGTTGTGTTCCCTCAATTGGCCAAAAACGATAAGTAACTCCCAGGACCCAAAAAATGTTACTCTGACCCCACTATCTGCGTTGTCCTCAGAACTGTGCAGCTGTATTTGGTTTTACTCAAACACAGCTGAGTTTGCCCAGAATCAACTCCAGTGTGCTGGGTTTGACATTTTTATGACCACAGATGTGTTCACGTCTTCCCTTCACATCATTCTTGTCTCTCTCTCTCACAGAAACCTTGATAAATGTCCTCACAGTGCCCGTCCCTATTTTCCTGTAGAGCACTTATTCTCAGCGTATACCCTCTTGTTTGAAACCAGAATTCCGAGGCTCTGTCAGCAAGGCACCCACAGCTGGAGCCATGTCAGCAGGGATGGTGCCACCCCAGGGCAGCTGTCCCCAAAGCCTGGGCCGCACTGGTCACCAGTCCCCTTATGTGTTTCAGCTACCTCCTGCCGCACCTCCTTCCATCCAAGCCTGGCCTGGACATACATGGCATGCGGCACCCTGCGGCCAACACCATCCAGCGGGTGTTTAAGATGAGCTTCGTACCCATTGGCTTCTGGCAAAGGTTCATAGCGCGGATGCTGATCAGCTTGGCTGAAATGGATCTGCAGGTAGCCGGGGCTGTGCACAGGGAGGCACACTGCGGGCTCCTGCAGATGTACCTTGGGGAGGGACATGTTGATTTGTTGATGGGACCTGATTCAAGATCTTTCTCCCGCCACCTTGTTGGTGGTCTGGGGTCCAGAGGCAACTCAGGTCAGAGCCATTGAACCATCCTGTGAATACCCATTCAGTTTACCGTTGGCTTTGGCAGAGGACTGCCCACTCCAGATCACCTGGGAGGGCCTTTCTAACAAGAACACACATTGATGCGCCCACTTCCAGCAGTTCTGAGCCATTGAGTGTGGACTGGGACTAGGCATTGGCATTTCCAACCATTCCCCACTGGCCCGTGACTTCAGAAGTCTGGTCTTGCCATCCTGGCTATACCAGACTCATGTGACACAGACTTTTGGGGCCATAACACAAATCAGAATCTTGATGTGGTATCCTCACATTCAGGGGAGGTGATGGTGATGCTGGGGATTGAAGCCAAGGTCTTCACAGTGAGCTACTTTCCCCACCCTTTTTATTTTTGAGATAGGGTCTCACTAAGTTGCTAAGGCTCGATTTGAACTTTCAACCCTCCTACCTCAGCCTTTCAGAGTGCTGACATTACAGGCATGTGCCATCATGCCTGGCTGCCGTCAGTGTTTTTTAAATCCCCCAGGTGATTGTGCTTTGCAGTGGAGCTTGAGAACCACTGGAAATAATGAAGACCTGACCCAAGGTTCTGTCCTGTGGGTTCTCCTGGGTTACAGAGAGGCAGCCTGAGGGTTGGGCCACATTAATTTCATGCAAAACAATTCGTGGAAGTAATATTTACCAAGGACAGTGGTTCTTAAAGTGGGGTTCCCAGACAAGCAGAATCACAGGGGAACATCTGAGATACACAAATCCTCAGGCCCCAATACAGACCCACTGCCTCAGAAACTCCACAGTGGAGCCCTGAGATCTGCTTTTGACAAGCCCTCAGGGGGTTCCGACATGCTCTTAAGTTTGTGAACCCCTGGCATAAACCACGACTTTGCCCCCTTTTGACATTGACTTCTGTGTGAGTTTACTTCAGCCATTCTACTTAAAACACCCTTATTGAATTATAACTTCTTGGCACAAAAACATGTGCTTTGATCTTGCCATTAAGATGGGAAGAAACATAAATGCAAGAGTCTGAAAATCAGTCAGACACTGCAGCCTTTGCTAGCAGGCAGCTTTGTTTTGGAGGCCAGGAGTGTGCAGAGGGCTGAAAGAGTGGGAGCTGGCTGGGGTCTCTGCAGGCTGTCTGCCCTCTGTTTGAACATTGTGTCCCACCACATTCTGGGTGGGGATCAGGAAGCACCGGTACCTTGGGCGGCTGAGCTCCCCAGTGGGGCCCAGCTGGGCACAGGGGCAGCCAGTCCTTCTCAGCAGCACCCCTTGCAAAGAATCCTATTGAAATTGAGACTGGTGACAGGGGAGAAGGATCGAGTCTCATCAGTAATCAAAGGCATGCAGATTCACACGGCAGAGATGCATCGTGGTGCCTGTGGAATTAACAAAGAGCTAAGATGCAGTCCCTGGCCCCAGACGGGACACTGGTGGTCACTGTATAGGAGGGTGGCGTTTCAAAAGCGTTTCCTCAGTGTGCATCCAGAGTTTTAAAACACTGAGGCCCTTTAACCCCTAATCCCACTGCTGAATATCCGAACCTAGGAAACCATTTGAAACCAGAGAAATCTCTGTGTTTTGCATATTCATTACAGCATGTTTGAAAGAGCAAAAGATTGGAATCAATATGCAATAGAAGGGGGTTGTTCAGAAAACTAATATACTTCCTAGCTTTAGAAAAAATGAGTTTAAGTGAGTGTTTAAGTTTAAATGAGTAATGGTGTCAGAAAAGTAACACATTTTGAGGTATACATCTTTTTGGTGATGTTGGAATTGAACCCAGTGCCTTGAGCACAGCAGTCAAGCTGGACCACTGAGCTACCTCCTCAGCCCCAGAAGTACACAAGACGGGAATATAATATGGACTCAGCTGCTTTTTTAAATACATATGTAGTTAGAAAAAAGCCTGGAATTACAGGTACCAAAAGCTTAATGATCTCTTTGCTTGCTGTTTAACTGGTATTTTATTTTCTCTTTTTATTTTTCTCTTGCCCACATTGCTTATGAAGCCAGGAAGTGAACAATTTTTTTTTTTGAAAGCCTATTTCCAATTGCTTGGAAAAATCTGTTCCCAGGGTACCCTGGAGACCCCTCTAGACCATATAGCATTAATTTGGCAGCAGAGCTGTGGGGCAGGCGGTGGGGATCCCACGATGATTTATCAAGATGGGGCCCGGCAGGCTGCTCAGAGCTCTGTGTGGAGTCAGCACAGAGCCTGAATGCTCAAGCAGGGTCTTTTCTCTCTGTCTTTCAGCTTTTTGAGAACAAGAAGAATACTAAAAGCAGGAACAGAAAAGTCGCCATTTACAGTTTTACAGGAAACCAGAGAAACCGCTGCAGCACATTCAGAGTGAAGAGGAATCAGACCATCTATTGGCAGGAAGGGCTCCTGGTCACTTTCGATGGGGGCTACCTCAGGTGGGAACATCCTGGCTCACCCCATACCATGGCAAGGACCCCGTGACAGCCCCGCAAGGTGCCTCACTCGCTTGGGTCCAGATTGTGCTCCTGAGAGGAGCTCAGGGTGGCTGCCTGCTAGAAATGCCAGACGCTCCCTGCACATGTCCCTGAGGTCACTCCCTTCGTGGGACAGGAAGGCCGGGGCAGATGTGGCAGCAGAGGGGGCCTTGGGCACCTCTCACAGTCACAGAGAGAAGGTGCTGGGACGAGGAGGCCCTTGGGTCCTCAGCCCTGGTTCCACACCGTGACCTAGTGAGGTGCTTTTTCAGAAAGAGAGAAAGAGACATAGACAGAGCTGAACAGATGTAATGAATGATCAGCACACAAGATCATTTCATAGCTACAGTGAAGCTGTCAAAGGAATCTGTAGCTCTGTGAGGAGAGAGGTGAAAGTAACTCCTCCTCAGAGGGTCTGATTTGAGCCATTCTGTGTGCCTGGAGGTTCCATGTGGATGTTCTCACTTAAAGTTCAGTTTCCACTTGACAGGTGGGCACTGTTCAGAGTAAAGGAGCTTCCCGGGGGTCACAGCTGAGGGGCAGACCCACCCTGAGCATCCTTACTGCGAACTTCTTGCTATGGGGACAAGGACAAAGCAAGCCCACAAACATGGACCATGAAGAGAGGCCCCCCTAGCTCTGTGGGACCCTGGCCTCTCCTGTGTCCCCAGCCTTCCAGGGAGGGTGCTCACCCCACGATCTCTACAGGGTCACAGCGGACTGCTTTTTGTTCCTGGGTTACAGTGTGGAATCTTCCGATGTGAACTGGAAAAAGAAAAAGAGTGGAGGAATTAAAATCATTTGCCAATCAGAAATGAGGGACTTCTCGGCGATGGCGTTCATCACGGATCATGTGAATTCTTTGATCGATCAGTGGTTTCCTGGTAAGAGAACACACTGGAACCGAGCCTCTGATCATGCTTGGATTTCTTTATAGGTCAGGGAGGGAACAGAAGGCCCACTGGGATTTAGCCCAAGCAAACCAGCAGGTGGTTGTCTTAGCCCATTTTTAAGCATCCTGGCCCCCTGAAGAGTCCAGCTCTGGGCCCAGGCAGGGAGAGCTGCGGGGAGGCATGGGCTCAGACCCCACAGGGCACAGACCCCTGGCTGCCCATAGCATGGGGAAAGAGAGGCCTCTGGGACCCATGCGCAGTCTCAGCAGCAGGGCTGACAGTGAGGGGAGCTGGGGGTGGAGCAGAGGCAGGTGGGAAGAGGCAGCAGCTGCTGAGGGGCCTTGTGCACCCTGCCTCCCTCACCCATCCCAGTGTGGCTCCAACCACCCCCACAGCCCTCCTCAGGCCCTTTGGATCTGTTGACATTTGCCAGTTCACCCAAAGAAAATACTTTTTGAAGTGAAGCCCTTGAAGTCCTGTTTGTTTTGTTCCTGGAGCAGAGAGAGACCCCTAGAGCAGTCAGCAGGGAGCAGGAGGGAGCTGGGTAAGCCCTCAGAAAAGTGGGGATTGAGCCTGTGAAGGCAGGTTGGGATCTGGCCACTGCCCCCAGCTTGTCTGAGCAGCCTCCACACCTACCCAAGACCCGTGTACCCCCGGACAGCATCAGGGAAAGTGCTTCAAGAAGAGGCAGGAGGCACTCTGAGTCCTTGAGACAGCAGGAACTGGGTTCCTTTGATCTGGGCACTTGACCATCCAGTGGTTCCCCGGGCCCAAATCTACCCTGTAGGTCCCGTGTAACTCCCAACAGGTGGGTGCTGGAGGACTTGACAGGTGAGTCCTTCTGACAAACACCTGCGATGCACAGACTCAGCAAAGCACCAGAAACAAGGTGTCCTGGAGCTGCATGTCTGGCCCACGGCCGGGAGAGGAGCCCCTCTTAGCAGGACACCTGTGAGGTCAAATGTACATTCAAGTCCTAGGTGTCCACCTCCGCCTGTACGAGGCAGGTCATTGCCCCCACCCAAGGGACCCCACAGGACACTTTGAGGCTGTTTCTTGGCGCTTCCCAGTGAAGACACACGGAAAATGGGCTCCTGTCCAGGGCACCATGGCAGTGATGAGCTCTGTCTGCTACAATTTGTTTCCAGTATCCCACATTTCTCTTCTGGAGAGCACTGTGGTTGTAGGCTGTGGTTCTGATTTTTAGTACGTGCTTTCTGGGCTAGCTGTGGTTGGGTTGTTGAAGTGTAGCTCAGGTCCAGCCCTGCCCGAGCCCTGCAGGTGGGATCCCTGCCCTCTCCTGGCATCTCTTCCGTCAGCCTGCCCAGGGCTGCATGGCTGTGAGGCCCCTGCCCTGCCTTTGCCACCGGGTGGCTCGGAGGAACATCCCCACCCTCTCCACGGAAAATCTTTCAGAATCAACAGCTGCACTCCACAGCCACTGGTATAACCAGCTTGGGACCCTGCCCAGGGTCCAAGCAAGGGCAGATAGACCATTGCTGTGAAGCCAGCCCTCAGGGCTGCTACTCAACCACTCCGCATGACTCTCTCCTGCTCTGCCCCTTAGCCCTGACGGCCACCGAAAGTGACGGGACCCCACTCATGGAGCAGTACGTGCCCTGCCCTGTCTGCGAGACATCCTGGGTGCAGCACGCCAACCCCAGTGAGAGGTCAGAGGGTGTGCAGTACTTCGACATGGAAGACTGCGTGCTGACAGCCATTGAGAGGGACTTTATCTCCTGCCCCAGACACCCAGACCTCCCAGTGCCCTTGCAGGAGCTGGTCCCTGAGCTGTTCATGACCGACTTCCCGGCCAGGTAGGCTGTCGCGGCCTCTCCTCAGACACAGTGCAGGTCCCGGGACTGGGCTCTTTGCTGTAAGGTGCCAGTAGGTCCCAGGGCAGACCCTCCACGGGTCACTGCAGCGGGTGGCCCCTGCCCGGCAGCGTCAGTCACTCAGGCCACAGCTTCCTACCAAGTCTCAGGTGACTTAGGTCGCATGCTAGGCTGCCAGGAGCAAACAGGGCCATTAGCTTCCACCGTGGAGATACAGCAGGTGCCTTGGGCACTTCACTTGTGAAGCCATCTGTGCCCCCGCTTTCTCTTCCCCTCCCAGAAGTTAGTGCCCCTTCTGCTGACCGCACCACAGGCTGGAGGAACGGAAGGTGACTACAGGCGTGCTCCCTGGCCTTTGGGGACGGGAGCACCCCCAAACCTGCAGCTTCGTTGTCTTTTTTGGCAAATGCTGACTCCCATCTGCTACCCAAAGGCCAAGCTTTTGGATCCTCTAACTCTGTTCTTATCTTGAGGGCCCAACCCAATAAGAAATGGCCATAAAATCCAAGTCGTTGGTAAAAGATGCCATCATCTTTGGTCAAAGGGAACCCACACCTATGGCTTGGTGTCCCCAAAGACAATCTGCCGTCAGTGGTTCCAACCTTTTTTGGAATTCTAAGGTCCTGTTGCTTTCTCACTCAGAGGCACACTATAAACTGGGCATGGTGGCACACGCTTGTAATCTCTGTAATCTCTGTAATCTTGTAAACTCTGGGAAGCTGAGGCAGGAGGATCCCAAGCCCAGCCTGGGCAACTTAGTGACTTACCAAGACCCCTCTTGAAATAAAGCATAAGACAGGACTGGAGATGGAGCCTAGAGCTAAGGCTCTGAGTTCAACCCCTGGTACCATGCAGAGGGGGAAAAAGGCATTCTATAATGCCTATAAATTAAGTTAGAGAAAATCAGACTTGTTTGATAAGAATATTGGTACTCTGATATTTCCATATTGCTCCAAGCAGTTATGGGATACGCTGTAAGTTTAGAGAATTGGAGTTCCAAACACTGCTTCTGGGTGAATCTGTCAAAGGAAGAAGGGTCGGAGGTGGAGCTCAGTGGTGCATGTACTTAGTGTACACTAGTGTACACGAGGCCCTGGGCTCCATCCCCAGCTCCAAACATGGTGACCAATAAATAAAGGAAATGCTTCCTGCCTTAGATGATTCCTCCCATGGTTCTTTTCATTATCCCCAGCAACCTCCTGGGTGGGCATGACGAGCGCACTTCCTTGCAGAGTTTGGATAGGAGTGTTCGGCTCTCAGAGACCACCTGCAGTTTCATATAAACACAAATCCAGTTTATTTAGGGAGATGCCCTGTGAGGGTCCCCCAAAGTTTTAGAATATTTACTCGCTGAATCTAGTTATGTTTATGACTCAGTTTAGAGACCCCAACTGAATGTGGAATTTATTGGACGTGGATCTAATCTCTGGCTATTGTAGGAAATGAAGTTTCTTGGCAGGAAGTTGAAAAACACAGCACTCCCAGTCCAGCAGAGGCGCTCTGGACTTCAGCTGGGACCCATCCATCTCAGAGTTTACAGGCAGAGCTCCTACAGACTTCCGAGTCTGCACAAGTCCTAACAGGGATCCCCAGCGTGGGTCCCCATACCCAACCACCTCCCTGGTTTGGGTGGACGTTTGGAGAACAGCCTCAGCCTGTTTTCTCCCAGGCCCCCCAGGGCTGCAGTGGGTACAGAGGTGATGCAGTTGAGTCTGAGTGTCCTGAAGGCACAGGAAAAGCTGCACCTGCGGGGCTGGGTGGCCTGTGGGCTCCACCTTGCCTGGTTGTCCAGGTGCCTGGCAGGGTCCCTATGCGGTGCTGAGGTGGACTCGACAGAGCGGGTGGCCTTTTCCCCTCACCTCTTCCCCTCCCTTCCACCCGTTCCCCCTTCTTTGCACCATGCTTTCTTTGCACTCCATGTTTCTAAAGAAAAAGACAAGTGTTGAGGAAAGAGAGGCAGAGGCAGGGCATCGCGGTGAGAGCCCGGAGGTGGTCAGGAAGCACAGGGTCCCACAAAGGCCCAAGCCTTGCATGCCGCCCCAGAGCCCAGAGAGTCCAAGCCCATGGAGGACCTGCCGTCCTGATCCTTCTGCCCTGGCTCCATCTGGGCTGCCCAGAAGGCTCGGGGACTCTGCCCGTGCAGGCCAGGCCTTCTTAGTCGAGAGCCTGAAGATGCACAGGGGTCTGGAGAGAAGGGCAAGGGGTCCAAGAGCAACTGGCAACATTCCCAAAAGGCCAACAGGAACTGTCTCTTCCTGGGATGAGAACACATAGACGGGGCATTTGCAACTCCCAGAGGTGGGGACACGGGTCGTGCAGATCAGAAGCTCTGTGTGGCAGTGTATATTTATGGTACTCAGAGTGGAGAAATGACTAACAGTGAGTCAGTGCAGTTTGCTGAGGAAGGCTGCTCTCAAAGCACGAAATCTTTTAGAATAAAACATGCAAGGAGACCCTTGTTGTTGCCCACCATGTTCAGAGGCGTCACGCAGAGCCAGGCAGCATGGCATCCCCTGGGCAGCTCCTGGGATGAGCCCACTTTACCAAGGAAGTGACCGAGGCCTGCTAAGGCTGCATGAGCCGTCCAGGTTTGCTGTAGCTGTGTGGCAAAGTTAGCCCAGATCGGTCCAACTTCACAGATGGCTTTAAACTGTGACTGCCCCCCAGGGAACGAATGTACTAGCCCAGGATCCACCTCAGCGCATCCAAGTCAGGGTGCCTGGGCTGACCTCTGATCTGTGTGCAAACAGGCTTTTCCTGGAGAACAGCAGGCTGGAGCACAGTGAGGAGGAGAGCAGCATCCTGGGCCAAGGTGGCAGCGGCACTGTCATCTACCGTGCCCGGTACCAGGGCCAGCCCGTGGCTGTGAAGCGGTTCCACATCAAGAAATTCAAGAATTTTGCTAATGCGCCAGCAGGTAACACGGCCCCGGCCCAGCACTGTTATTTGCAGGTGTGTGCTTCCTCCATCCAAGCTCCGAGCCTCCTTAGAAGGGCTGAGGTCACACGCACGAGGCAGGAAGTGAGGACGGTGGGTGCGGCAGCTTGCGCTCAGGGCTTTCTGCCTGGCCAGTTGGGGCCAGGCCAAGCGAGGTCCAGAAGTCGCTCTTAGAGATGGGAGTCCCTAAGAGCAGGGGCCATCCTTGCTATTTCTATCTGCCTGTGCCCGGTACATGCCTGGCATGACGGGCGGTCAGGCCTAAGCGGGTCCTTCCCTGCAGGACCCCTCAGTGCTGCTGTCTCCTGTGCTGATGAGGAGTGGGACACCCGCCAGCCTCCCACCCCCAGAAAGGAGCTCCCTCTTGCCCAACACCAGAGACGGCACACGGAGCCCCACTTGACTACGTAGTTCAGGGCTGTTCTCCACCAAGAAGGACCCTTCCCCACCTGTCCAGGCGCTCTCTGCTGCTTTGACAGAGTGCTCCATGCTGGGTGACCTGTAAGCCGTGGAAATGTGTTTGGCTTATGCTTGTTGAGATCGGGCTGGCTTCTGGCGAGGGAGCCACAGTGCATCATCCCGGGGTGGAAGGTGGGAAAGGAAGAGATCACAGTGGACAGAGCGAGAGTGGGCTGAGCTCGTATTTGTAAGAAGCCCACTCCTGAGGTAACCGGTCCTCCCCTGCCGTAGCCATAGCCCTGCTAATCCACTATGAGGGCAGATCTTCCTGACCTAATCGTCTCTCATTAGGTGCCCCTCCCAACACCTCCACTGGGCACGAAGGGCGCACACTTCGGAGGACACAGGCAGACCATGGCACCGTGTGAGCCCAGCCCCTGCAGGGGCTGGGGAGGCCTAGGCACCCCTGCCAGCTTAGATCACATCTCTCACTGCTCCTGGCTCAGGACAGCTTACTTTGGTCATAATAAGCTGATTTATACTCTTGGTAGAAAAGTTAGAATCACAGAAAACTATAAAAAGCACAGATCACAAAGGAAGAGACAAAATAATATTGATTTGTTGAGAAGTGTTAGAGATGATAAGTTTCCTAAAATTGCTGGACGTGAGCTGAATATTCAAGTTCAGCATTCCTGTACACAGCACATTTCCTCTGTAGCAGCAATAAAAACCATAAGGTGTTGAGAAACAGCCAAGGTTCGGCTTAGTTCTTATCTGAGTTCCAACAGGGTGTGCATTCATGTAATCTGACAGACTAAAATGCAGGTGCAATAAGAAAAGTCCAAGAACTAAGAAAATTGTATAATGAAAGCCCAAGGAAAAAGGACTCCTCCCAAAAGTATTACTTATAGTCAATCCACAGGCTTCAGGGCCCTTTTTTCCCCAAAGCAAGCTCCCTTCCTAGGGAACAGAGACACAGCCTGTGTGGTACAGGAAGTGACACCAGAGGTCACTATCTTTGCTACACTGGGTGCAGATTTGGACCTGATCTCATACCACCCTAAAATGTGCATTCTTAACGAGTTAAAGACCCAGTATCGAGGGTCAGGGATTTAGCTCAGTGGTTCTGCCACCTGCCTTACAAGCGCGAGGACCCGAGTTCAATCGCTGGTACAGAAAAAAAAACGCAATGTGGAAAACAAAACCTTTATGCTTAAGAACCAAACTGCCCCCATATGCATACTTCTGGCACAATTGGTGATCTTGCCTCACCAAGGTTTTCATGTTGTCTCCATTTTAAAATCTAACAGGGAGGTGGGGGGTGACACAGGACACAGGAAGATAAGCAGGATCTGGATGCATCCTGGTGGCCTCAGCCAGCTGTGCCTGTGTGGACCAGTCCTAGCCTAGCGATGTCTCCTGGCCTCTCCAGAGTCTCCTGCAGGCCCTCCCTTGAGGGTGAATTTCAAGGGCATCAGAAGGGGGTTATAGCACAGTGTTGGAATTGCCTGCCACCGCCTGCAGGCCTTTTCCCCTGGTCTGAGATGACTCACAGGCCAGTGTCTGCAGCCACTTCCCACTTGGTGATGCAAGAGTGGTGGTACTGCCCACGTTTAGTGGCCCTGGCTACCATCAGGGACCCCAGGCCCTAAAGACCCTCATGAAAATGCCAGGCTCCTACTGAGTGTTGTGGGCACAGCTGAGAATGAAACCAAGAGAAAACCGCAGTTGTGAAAGGGCTCTGAGATGGCCCGTTGCTCCTAGGAACAAAGGGCACTTAGGCACTGCAGCTCTCAGCTTTATTGACTGTACAAGGAGCAGAGGCATAAGTGGAGTATGGCAGAGGGTTCTGGCTGAATGTGAGGGAGCAGTCACTTCTGCAGAGAAGCTGGCAAGCAAAGAACAAGGGATTGGTGCGTCAAGCATAAAACCATCAAATTTCTGTAACAACTTAATGGGTAACTGACTGTGTTGCTGTAAGCAACTCCTTACTACTGAGAAAAAGACTTTGTTCTGGGTCTCACTGCTTCAGTGCTGATGTGATCCGTATCTCAGCCCCTTCCCCCCATCAGCCACTTATCTGACCTCCGGGACAGCCGTTAATGGGCGCGATGCTGGCCGTGCATTATCGCTTTGCCTCCGTGGGACACGTCAGCACCCTGGCTGAATGCCAGTTACATTTTTTTAAAGCCAATTAGAAAGAAGTTATCTCTGTGCAGCTAGCACTGCCTGTGCTCCTATAATTACCATGCCAGGGTTTAGTGAAGAGAAGGAAAAGGGCCATAGCGGGGCTGCAGTCAGGGGTCTTTAATGCGGGGGTTCTCCACAGGCTTCTTGGTAAGGAGTCCTGTGACCAGCAGTGGCCAAATGCTCAGTGTCCGCGAGGGCGGAGAGGAAGGGACCTTCTTACACTCCAGAATCTCCTAGGCCAGGCTCTGAGTGAGACACAGGGGTGCAGAAGGAGTGGATATAATTGGGACCCACAGAAGGCTGGCAGCTAGGTGAACTGAGGGCTGCGAGATCTCTCGGGGACCGGGGCGGGCATGTGGCAGTCCTCCAGCAAGGGGCCTAGTAGGCCTTCGGAGCTGCTCGCACCGGAGCTGCCAAGTGACGGCCAAATTAGCACCGAGAGGGAAGGGGCTCGGTGTCAGCCCATGGGGTGGCCCATTGGGACCGAATTCTGGACAACGCCACTGCAGTCCGTCAGATAACGTGCGCCCCGCCTGCCCCAGGTCACTGTGGGGTGGCTCTCAGCGCCTTAGGCCCCTGTATCACGTGCCCTTGGGAGGCCACCTAGTGAGTCTAGGCTGGGTCCCTCTAGCCCCAGGTCCAGTGGGGCAGCCCATGCCCTGCACCATTGTCCTCCCTGGGTGGCTGACGGGGGCTCACATCTCACCCCCGCAGACACCATGCTGAGGCACCTGCGGGCCACGGACGCCATGAAGAACTTCTCGGAGTTCCGGCAAGAGGCCAGCATGCTGCACGCCCTGCACCACCCGTGCATCGTGGCACTCGTTGGCATCAGCATCCACCCACTCTGTTTCGCTCTGGAGCTCGCCCCGCTCAGCAGCCTCAACACCGTGCTATCTGAGAACGCCAGAGGTACCCACCTGCCCTCGGAGAACATTCCCCTGGGGGCTGTCTGGGCCCTGCCCCTTGGGGCCACCAGAACTGTGAGCTATATGGGCAGCCTCAGGAAGTTCTACAGAAGTAGAGCTACTAGAGGAGCCTTGTCAAGCCCACAGCACGCCCTGGCCCACAGCAAGTCATCTCATCCAGTATAAGCACTGGCGGTGGCGTTGGCCCAGGCTGAGCAGGTCATACTTTGGAGACAGTAGAGCCAGGTTTCATGTTTTGGTTCCCTGCCATAATCCATGAGACTGCTCCGTTTGTGAACTAGTCAGCTTTCCTGACACTAGGACGCAACACCTGGCACCTGCAATTTCCAGAAGAAGATGACGACGACTCATTTGGCTATTTCAGGGATTCAGTCCATGGCCTGCCGGCTCCAAGGCAGAAACATCATGGCAGAAGGGTGTGGTGAAGCAAAGCTCCTTAGCTCAGGGTGGCCAGGAAGCAGAGCAGGGAGCAGCACTAGAGAAGGGACAAAGGACCCAAATAGAGTATCCTGGGCCACACCTCTGTGGTCTACCCAGAGTGTGCTTTGCTAATATACTAGGTATTTATTAAATCAAGCTAACGTACAATTAACAACCCTAATTCAGTTGCCTATGAAAGAAGGATCGTAATAGTCCCCTCTGGGAGGGCACCAGGCCTCAGATGAAGGAGGCTTCGGTAGACCTAGGCAACTAAAGCTGGCCCCTCAATCCCACCGGTGTGTAAATAAATCCCTTCTCTAACCATAATGCACCTCCCTGCCACTGATAAGGCTGAGACTTGGTATCAGTTATATCTTACTTTTTAAAGAAATTTACAGAACTTACCTTGAGAAATGGGTAACTAAACTCCAAACTGCTGCCAAAATAAGGGAGGTAGCTGTCTTTTGACTAGGAAAGAAATGCTGTGTAAATCAATCACTAAACCCTCAAAAATAAAATTTTTAGTGACGTCCTACTACAGCTCACCTCTGGCCAGCAGTATAGTGATGGGCTGGGATGAGCTCTGGGGCTTTGAATCCTTGCTTGTTTAGTAAAAATGCCAGGAATTCCAGGCCTTAGATGCTATGAAAGGAGCACGGTGAGTAGCACTTCTATCTTAAATCCCATGTTACCTAAGAAGGCCATGGAGAGTACTGAAGATGTGTCCATGGAATATAAAACCTTAGGGGTTATGTTCGTCAGCTTTCCCTCATTGTGACAAAAATACTTGAGCTAAACAACTTGTAAGGAATAAAGGTTTACTTTGGCTCATAGTTTCAGTCCATGGTTACTTGGCAGTATATCATGGCAGGAGTATGTGGCAGAGAAGACAGCTTACTTCATGTTAGACAGAAAAGCCAAAGGAAAGGAAGGACTAGGTCCCCATATCCCCTTCAAGGCCACACCCCTCATGACCTTACTTCGTCCCACTAAGCTCTACCTCCTAAAGGTTCCCCCACTTCCCAGTAGAAGCACAGGCTTGAGACCAAGCCTTTAACACATGGGGCCTTAGAAGACAAACTATAGCAGGGAGATAGAAGGGAAGAATGGAAAACAGTTGCTATAATGCTAATCTGATTCTAGAAAAAATTGAAATTGTTATTTTTTTCTTTACAAGATTCTTCCTTCATGCCCCTGGGACGTATGCTAACCCAAAAAATAGCCTACCAGATTGCAACAGGCTTGGCCTACCTGCACAAGAAGAACATCATCTTCTGTGACCTCAAGTCGGACAACATTCTGGTGTGGTCCCTGGATGTCAAGGACCACATCAACATTAAGCTGTCAGACTACGGGATCTCACGGCAGTCCTTTCACGAGGGCGCCCTGGGTGTGGAGGGCACGCCTGGCTACCAGGCCCCGGAGATCAGGCCTCGCATCGTGTATGATGAGAAGGTACCAGCCCAGCCCACTGCCCTTCCCAGGCCTGCCCTTCTTGGCTGGTCAGGTCCCATGTGAAGCCAGCCAGGCAGACCTCAAGCACCCAGCCCTTCTGAGCTCAGGTCCCCTGACTCCTATGCTCAACACAGGAGGCTCTGGCTCAAGCCAAGGGGCTTTTGAAAAGCAGAAAGAATACAGTGGTAAAAGAGCCTGGCCTGTCAGTCAGGGCTCCACAAGGTGCTAGCCAAGTCACACCCCATGCCAGCAGAGAGTACATTCTTCCAGGGCAGACTAACCTGCACAAGGCCTCCACAGGCAGCTGCCTAGCCAGCCTCAGTTCGGACAACAGCCAAATGCCTGTCTTCTTCCCTGTTAGCTGGTTGGCAAATACAAACACACAGCCTCCCCCTAATCATCTTGTATTGCACATGTTGCTACTGGTGCCGGCCCTCTTAATCACCCAGGACTGAAGTATGCCCCTCGTCTGTAGTTTCTGGTTCCTGGTGACTTTCACTGACTGATTGCTTTGAGGATGGCCTAAGCATCTGTGGGTTAACTTGGCACCTATGGCTGTTGCCCAACACGGGAAAGGTATAGCACCATGACAGAAGTAAGAGCTTCTTCGCAGTGACTCAGACATGGTGTTCACGTAGAAACTAAGATTGTAACGAAAATAATATTCACATTGATATTTTTCAAGTCTCTCGGCCATTTTTCTGCTAAAAAGCTATTTCTTGATCCTTATAGGAGTCTGCATAACTCTATCTTTACTGGGTCTTTTTAAATGAGAGGAGACAACAGGCTGAGATGGAGGAGACACTGTCCTTTTCACGAGTTGTGTTCACGGCCCATCTAGTGCCAAGCCTGTTAAACCAAGGGTCTTGGCATCTTTGGAGCCTTTAATCAGTGCCTGGTGGTTAGTAAGCTCTTTCTGTGAATTTATTGGATGGATGGATGGATGGATGGACGGACGGATGGACAGGATAGGCAGTCAGATGGATGGAAAGAAGGTGGATAAGAGTGTATGACAAGTGGGCATATAGATGGATGTATTGGGGGATGGATGGAAAATAGATGGATAAATAGAAGAACATATGGTCAGAAGGATGGATGGATGGCCAGATGAGGGAATTAATAGCTAAATGGACAGAAAGACAGGTGGCAAGATGGCTGGTTGGACAGATGAAAATAGATAAACTTGCGGATGGATCAACGCTGGTCTCCCTTTTCCCTAGGCCCATGTTTTCTTTCTCTAATTGCATCTCTCTCCACCTCAGAGCCGGCTTGCAAAGAAAGCTGCTGGGCCTGGGCAGGGGACCTGACTTGACTTGCCTTTCTGCCCAGGTAGATATGTTCTCCTATGGAATGGTGCTCTACGAGTTACTGTCAGGGCAGCGCCCTGCTCTGGGCCACCACCAGCTTCAGATTGCCAAGAAGCTGTCCAAAGGCATCCGCCCCATTCTGGGGCAACCGGAGGAGGTGCAGTTCCATCGACTCCAGGCGCTCATGATGGAGTGCTGGGACACGAAGCCCGAGAAGGTACCTGGGGGCACAGCGCCTGGGCTGGGGCCTCCTGCCCCTGTGGGGACCACGATCCTCACCAAGAACAATCGTGCAACGTTCTCTAGTTGCCCCTTATGGAAAGAGACAATTTCTGCTAAGCTGCCCAGTTTCGTGTTCTGTGTGTGTCACTCTTGGAGAAAACAAACGTTTGGGGCTGGGGATTTAGCTCAGTGGTGCCAGTCTTGCCTTGTAAGCGCAAGGTCCTGAGTTCAATCCCCAAAACAAACAAACAACACTTCTCAGAAAAACAATCTTTCTTTCCCTCCCCAACTTTTGTCATTTCATCATGCACAAAAAGTAAGGGTTGAATGTCCCTTATCTGCAATGCTTGGGACCAGAAATGTTTCAGATTTTGGAATACATGCAAAGACTTTGCTGCTTATCTCTAATCTAAGATCTAAAATGCCCTGAAATCCAGAACCTTTTGTGGACCATTCACTGTGTATCATAGAAGTATAATCCCTGTGCCAGAGCAGAGGGATTTTAAATATCTCTTTGCAAGGTAGTGGGGAAAACTTCGCTTGTGCAGTGGAGGTTAAAGCTAGTTTATTGTGTGATTTGGAGAGGGCCCTAGTTTCAAGGTTAAAAGTCATTCTTCAAATCAAGCAGAGCTAGTTTCATGCATTGGAGGCATGGTGTGGGATTCGTGGGATTAAGAGGAACCGGACCGGCTGAGCTCGAGTTGCTGTGGCTGGCAGTGACCGAGCTGCCTAGAGGACTTTGTTTCTGGTGTCCCGAGTCCCTTCAGCTTCTTGTGAAAGTTTGGTCCTGAATGAGCTGATTCCCTCATTCCCCGGGGTTGAGGGCTGACATCATGGGGTTCAGACCCAGCACATTCATGCCCGTCTCTCTCTCTCTCTCTCTCTCTCTCTCTCTCTCTCTGCAGCGCCCGCTGGCCCTGTCCGTGGTGAGCCAGATGAAGGACCCTACCTTCGCCACCTTCATGTACAAGCTGCCCTGCGGAAAGCAGACGGCCTTCTTCTCCTCCCAGGGCCAAGAGTACACGGTGGTGTTTTGGGATGGGAAAGAGGAATCCAGGTAAGCTTCTGCCCTGCCCCGCCCCACCCAGCTTGTATTCAGGGTGGAATTTGAGAACAGAAAATTAATCATGACCATGGCGATTACTATTCAGTGGTCCAGAGCCTGGTTAGAGTTTGTTCAAGACAGCAGGAAGAGAGAAACTGAGTCAGCACGTACATTGTTGTGCGTAAGAGAAGCCAGTAAATGATGGTCTCCGCCAGGTGTGTGGGGAACACAGGTCCAGAGAGCTGTGCTTCAGGTGAAGCTATTCTCAGCCTGATCATGCAGGACATCGAGTGATCCCATAGGGGCCGTGGGCAGCAACCAGAGAGACGAGGCTGCACATTGAGAGAGGGAGGCCCTTGGGCTGGCCCCAGGCCCCTCTGAAATAAGGGGTCAAACACTCCCTTCTAGGGGCTGCTCTCTCTCAGTGAAGGGGCAGGAAAAGGTTTGCGATATTCCAGAAGAGCGGAGGTACGGATGGGCGTGTCGCCTGAGGAAATCCAGGGTTCCTGCAGGATACGGAGGCGCTGAGAGCCACCAGCCTGGCTACACAACTTTCTCCAGCATGTCCTGCTCCCCCAGACCTCAGGCAGGGCGATTAAGTGACCTCCAGCAGTGGTGGATTTGCTCAGAGGAAGGCAGACAGGAGTTGAGGATGTCTTCGAGGAAGCAAGTATAGAAAAGGACCACGAAGCCTAAGTAAGGTCATGAAATGGGGAGCAAAGGGGCCAAGTCTTCTGTCAGAAGGATCCTTAGAGTGAGCTGAAAAGCTGGACGGTTGTGGTCAGACAGGATGCTCAGCATGGCCTGGGAGGGAGGGGTGCAGCCTCGTCGGGGTGGCTCAGGTGGGATCGGGAAGGGACCTTTGAGGAACAAAGAGGAGGTCCCGGGATGCAGCCACCAGGGCATGGGAAAGAAACTGTCAAAGACTGAAGTCACCAGGAAGTCACCGTCGTGTGAGAAACTTCTGCTGTGGCCATGTGTGCTGCCCATTCCACCTGCCTGGTGAGAAATTCTCAAGGCAATCATCTTCCCATGATCCCAAGGGCAAACACTGGAAAGTGCTGGAACCAGGCAAGGTTTAGATAAAGCTGGGCTTGAGTAGGAATGAGGTCAATGGAATGGACTTCGCAGTTTCCCCTAGGTCATTCCAGGTGAGGTTGGTATCAGATTTTTTTGCCTCTGGGACTGAGGGCTGTGATACAGACACTCTAAGAAGTGATGCACTAAAGGTCTCTAAGATACGGCATGTAACTGTCACTTTCTGTCAGGATACACTCGCAAGATCAGCCCAAAAGCAAACCTATACTACTGGCCTCTATCCATAGCCTGCAGCCATAGATTGAACCACCAGCTGGCTGAAAATGCTCAGTACGATGGCATCTGTACTGAACATGTGCAGACTTTCAGGTGTCATGTTGTTCCCTATATGATAACAACTATTTACATGGTGTTTACATTGCATTAAGTATTTTAAGTCATCTAGAGTTGGTTTAAAGTACACAGGAGGATGTGCCCAGGATCTAAGCAAACACTGCCCGGTTTATGTAGGAGATCTTAGTACCTGTAGATTTGGGTATTTAAGGGGGTCAGGGGGGTCCCTGCCAGTACCAAGGGAGGACTGTATGTTACAACCATTTCCAGTAATTATATTGGTTTTAGTAGTGTTATTGCAATTCTAAGATAGTATTTGTGGCTGTGGGGGAAAGTTAATGAGTAATCGTGTGGCTGACACTGGAAACTGATTTTCAGCATGAGCTAAAGGGGAAATAGATGTAAGGTAGAGTATGTGGAAAGCAAGTAAAGTTCTGAGTTGAAGTTGGATGGCCTCACGATCTAGTTGAAGAGGCCTAGGAACACAAGGCAGGAAGATACCCATGAGCACCCTGGGACCCAGCGAAACCAGGGTTCATCAGCGGAATGGCTGATTCCCAGACTTGGACCTCCCACATTTGGTATAGGAGAAGAGGGGAGGCTCTTAGAGACTTCTGAGGTGTATCAGAGGGACTCGGGCCAGTCCGGTCCCACCAATGCCAGGATGGGCCCTCTTCCACCACCTGTCTTGTCTTTAGCCTCGGCCTTGTCTACTTGGCCTGAGGGGCTGCCCACGCTCATGGGGTGGGCAGAATCTGGCTGGTGGGAGGGCGGTGAGCATTCTTTGTGGAAGTGCCCCTCACTCAAGCTGGGGCCACTGTTCCAACCCCCAGAGGTCACGGAAAGAAGAGCGGCTTTCCTCACTTTGGGGGTGTCCCTGCTCTGTGCACAATGTCCAGGCCCTTCACAGCAGGCAGAACCCAGCTCACCCCAGTGCATGGAGGACACTTCCTGAGCCTCTCAGAGCACAGCAAGATGAGACCTTGGTTTCCAGGGCCAAGTGAGGTCCACGGTTGAGGTCCTCTTCTGAGGTCATGGTGGCAGCCCCAGGGCCCCCAGGAACTGACCACGTGCTTGTTGCTGACCACAGGAATTACACGGTGGTGAACGCGGAGAAGGGGCTGCTGGAGGTGCAGAGGATGACATGTGCCGGCATGAAGCTGAGCTGCCAACTCAAGGTCCAGAGCTCGCTGTGGACGGCCACCGAGGTAACCACCGGCGTGCGGGCCCTCCGTGGGGCTGGTCACCTCTGTGCCGCCCCTGGGAGGCCCAGGTCAGCTCGACTTTCCGGTCACCCTCAGCTCAGCCCTAGACAACCCCCAGAGCAAAGCCATCTGCCCTGTGAGGCCGCGAGTGTCCCCAGGGAGCTCAGCCCTGCCTGCCCGTGGCTCCTGCCTGCCGCTGCCACTGCTGCTGGCTGAGCTTCCGGTTGATGAGTGTCAGGCGCAGACAGCCGGAGAAGCCGGCTTCGACGTGCCTGGGCTTCCCATGACGCTGCTGCGTCCACACAGCGCATCTTCTGCCTCGAAGGCCTTTTCCTTCACATCAGGGAAGTCGCAGGAAGGCCAGGAGAGGTCTCCCAGAAACTCAGAGAGGAATGGCCAGAGCCGGGTGTTCTCAAGTTACGGAAAGGGGAGAGGTCGGTGCGGTCTAGAAAGACGTGACCTCTGGAAGTGTGGCTCAGTATGTGTCGGAAACCTCAAACATACTCATGCCACGTAAGCCTCACTGATTTCAATCCGAAGAATTCATTCCAAGAAAATAGCTCCGACACAAACACATCATGGGGGGGGGGAGAGAGGAATACTAAATACTAACTCAGTGTAACTCATAGTCATGAAAACTTGGAGAAAACTGGGCCTCTGACAATAGATCGCCCAAGTTAGTCCTTCTGCGTGGAGAGCAGTGGTGCCCTGGGCCATCCTCTGTAAGAGAAGTGAAAGGGCAGAAGCCACAGCTCAGAGGTAGAGCACCTGCCTAGCTACTGTGCATGAGGCCCTGGGTTTGATTCCTAGAACAGCGAAAACAACAGATCACAAAAGTGAGAAGGCAGCATTGTATTAAAACCAAGGGCCAGGGATTTAGCTCAGTGGTGCCGCCATCTGCCTTGCAAGTGCAAGGACCCGAGTTTGATCCCCAGTACCAAAAAAAATCCTACTTTTGCTGGTACCATGTGCATTCACACACATACACGCACTGACAAACGCACACATACAGAACTTCAGAGAGGCGCTGCCCCCAAATCCCAGGGGTGGTTTTCTCTGGGTAATGAAAGAGGGGCAGTCTAATTTTTCTTCTCAAGACTAGTCTCTGTTTTCCAAAGTTTCTACAAAGAATAGAACTCAGTTACCAACCAACCGGACACACCTTCTACCCATTTAAGGTTGCAGTGAGTCCCCAGACTGGGTGCACCCAGGCTGGGAAATGCCAGGTGCTTCCTACCCTGGGTCTCACAGAGGGCCCCTCTGCCTCTGCAGGACCAGAAAATCTACATCTACAGCCTCAAGGGCATGTGCCCCCTGAACACGCCCCAGCAGGCCTTGGACACTCCAGCTGTCGTCACCTGCTTTTTGGCAGTGCCTGTTATTAAACAGGTGAGATGGGGAAGTGGGTGTGTGGGTATCTGACCACCCTCTGTCGTATTTGGGTGGACACCTACTGTCCACAAGCTGAGACCCAGCCCCGCTCAGGAGCAATGCGTGTGGGAGCAGAGGGTGCAAGTTGTGTGAGGACCGGATTCCTCCCGATAGCGGTGACACCAAGAGGCTCTTCCTCCCGCCGTGCCCAAGCCACTACCTTCCCCATGGCCCTCAGTCACCAGGCTCCGGCAGGCCCTGCTTCTGCTTTGGATCTGTGGCAGCCTGCTCTGTTACCCTCCGCCTCCGAGGCCTCCTTCCAGGGCTCACTGTTCATCCCAGACCACAGTCTGTCTTTGCACGGCACGGTCAGGCCAACTGCCCTCTCAGTCCCCCAGCCCAGGCAGAGCAGGTGAGCTGGTCCCCCTGCTGGCCCCTGCTCCCTGTGCTCAGGCCTCTCCCTACTCCTGCCTGCTCAGTTCTCAGAGTCAAGGCTGAGACCCGTCCTCTACGGGGATGCAGCTACCTGACTTTCCCGGGCTCTGCTGTCCTCCCACGGCCCCAGCATCGCTCGGGCAGTTGTGGCGTGGTCCCTCCTGGGAGGCCTGTTTAAACCACAGGTGCCCTCAGCTATGGGGAGCAGTTCCCAGGGCTGTCATCGCTCCTCTCCGTAACAGGGTGAATCAGCCCCAAGCGCCAGGCCAGTGCTCTTGGAAACAGAGTGTTACGGTGACCTCCTGACAGTCGTGAAATATATGAGCTCTTCTCTCTACCCTGTTCCAGTTTCATTTCTTTAAAAAGAAACACCAGTATGAAGTGAGCCTTAGCTTCATTTATGGCCACGGCCCTGTAGATGGGGATGGGCAGCTCGGGACTCAGCCTGCACCAGGGCACTGGGGAGCGGGACACAAAGCGGCATTGAAGGCCATCGCCAGCCAGAGCCCCGAGCCAGGGCACCACCTCCCACACAACTGGGGGGAATAAAGCCTGCTCTGTGCAGAGCCTCCTGCTCGGGTGCCTGCCCCCTTGGAGGCCTAGCTGCCCGCAGCCGTGCAGGGCAAACCCCTGCATTCTTGCACGCGTTCACTCCCAGCCTGGACGTGGTGCTCACCACGCTGGCCGGAGGGAGGTGGGACTCCAGACAGAGACTTCCAGCCTGTTTGCCTTACCTGCTTTCTTTCCCTAACATCCCAAATGTGGATTTTGATCAACTTCCTTAAAGCTTATTGGTCTGATGTTGCGCTGGAGGCTGTCACTGTGTTACCGGGGACAGCCCGCCCTCTGGACTTCCCTGGCAGCCAGCAGGGCAGCTCATCTCACCAGCACCGGGCCCAGCCCCTGCACTGTCCTGGCTCCCGCTTTGCTCTGCAGATCTTCTCTGGCTCCCAGCCTGTCCTGATCCCACCCTGCCCTGGGAGACGCGCTGGGGGACCACAGGGGCCCAGCATTCGGTCCCTGCAACTTTGCCCTCTGCCCAGCAGCCTCTGCACAGTGACTGCCCAAGAAGTTATGCTGTATTGCAGCTGTAGGGGGCGCCCTGAGGACCCCCGTCAGTGTCAGCTGTACCATGAACACCTCAGGGGGGGTTCATGAACTGAGAATGTGGGTACATTGGGCCAGACGTGCCTCCAGGAGAGAGATGAGTTGGAAGCAATTTCTTTTGGAATTAGTTCAGCAAACATGCATTCACTTGAAGCAGAAAACCAAGTGGAGTCCTGGGGCAACAGAGATGAATGTGACTTAGCCGTTCCCCGTACCCAGCCAATAGAAGGGGACAGTGGTGGGCACGGGGACCCTCCGCTGCGTTCGTGGAGCATTCGCCTAGGGTGGCAGTAGCAGACCCCCACGATGCCCACAACTGCTAACACATGAACAAGCGGTATTCTCAGGAGGGAGGGCACCATGAGGCCTTAGTGGCCTCGAGGAAAACACAGCACCCCCTGCTGCTCACGCTGCAAGAAGGCAGCCCCTTGGAGGTGGCATCTGGCCCTGGTGACCTGCTTGGTGCCATGGGCACTGTTCCTCCATGGCACGTCTGGAGCAAATCCTGCCGCAGGTAGGTGGGTGTGGCTGTACCGAGCTGGGCCTTTGCCACTGCTGGGTCCTGGGCCCCAGGGCTGCTGCTGGCAGACCCAGCCTTTCTGAGGGCTTTGCTCCTTGGGGACACTTGTGGACATCACATGCCTGTCCGGATGTGTAGAGTTGAACCCAATGCCCCCTCTGTTTCTCTCCTGCAATGGGGCTTCACGCGCCCCTGTCTCCTTCCCACAGAACTGCTTCCTGGTGCTGGCAGGCCTGGCCGATGGGCTTGTGGCTGTGTTTCCTGTGGTGCGGGGCGTCCCGAGGGAGAACTGCTCCTACCTGTGCTCACACACAGCCAACAGGTCCAAGTTCGGCATCCCCGACGAAGACGCGCGGCAGAACCCCTACCCAGTGAAGGCCATGGAGGTGGTCAACAGCGGGTCAGAGGTCTGGTACAGCAACGGCCCAGGCCTCCTTGTCATCGACTGCACAACCCTGGACATCAGCAGGCGGCTGGAACCCTACACCACCCCCTCGGTGGTCAAAACGGTCCTGTGCAGCTCAGACTGCAGTGGGGAGGAAGTCGTCTGGTGCCTAGACGACAAGACCAACTCCTTGGTGATGTACCACTCGGCCACCTACCAGCTGTGTGCCCGGTACTTCTGTGGGGACCCCAGCCCCCTCAGGGACGTGTTCCCCATGCAGCCCTCGGGTCCAGGACCCCTGGACAGCCGCATGGCCAGCCTGCGGGATCCCGAGACAGACCGCATCGCAGATGTGAGCATCATGTACAGCGAGGAGCTGGGCATGCAGATCTTGACCCACCAGGACTCGCTGACCGACTACTGCTCCATGTCCTCCTGCTCCTCGTCCCCACCCCACCAGGTCACCAGGCCCCCCTCCAGCCTGCTCAGCTCCCCGGTCAGCAGTGCCAGCACTCCTTTCTCCACAGACTTCGAGGGCTCCGAGCAGCTGCAGGAGCCCAGTGCCACCTCGGACAGGTCTGAGCATGACCTGAGCCCCATGGACGGGGAGCCGTTCAGCCAGCACCTGCAGGCTGTGAAGGTTCTTGCCGTCAGAGACCTCATTTGGGTTCCCAGGTAAGTGTCCTGGATGGGGCGGACATCCTGGGTTGCCTGCTGCTTTCGCCTCAGGAGCAAGGTGGGCAGAAACGAGCGAGTCTATCGGGGCTGCTCCTGTGGCCGGATTTGCTCCTTCTGCAGTCAGCAAATTGAACAATGGGCCCCAGAAAGCTCATCTGCCCACCAGAGAGCTGCAGATGCCACAAAAGGAGAACCACACAGTCCCCTGCTATTAGGTTTCTAACTGGAAAAGTGCTCATCTGCCTTGAAGGCTGTGCCCTTTCTGTAACTCAGTCCCGCAGCCGAAACTGCACGCTTGTTACCTCCTGACAGCCTTTCTGCACCCAGTGCCACTGCTCCCGAGAGTGTGGCTGGCCATGGACAAACCACTTCCCTTCCTTGGGTTTCCTAGGCACGGCGGAGATATTATAGTCATTGGCCTGGAGAAGGATTCGGGTGCCCAGCGGGGCCGAGTCATCGCTGTCTTAAAAGCCCGAGAACTGACTCCACATGGGTGAGATGGAGGAGGGAGGCCACTGTGGGACCCAGGAATCCAGGGCCTGCTCACCAGGTCTCTGGGGATAGCCCAGCAGCCCTGTGGGGGCCAAGCAGGAACCAGATGGGGTCCTTTGGGCAGACGGGGTCCTTCAGCATCCTCCTGCGGGGGCTCAGCAAACACCAGCTAAGTCAAGCTTTGGCCTCTGGCCAGGGCTGCTGCTTCCGGGTGCCCAGTGTCCCTATGCACCATGTGTGTCTCCAGGGCCCAGTGCAGGAGAAACAGGGATCTCTGCCACTGCCTCACTGTCCTTCCTGCCAGGGCTGACCCACCTGCCCATCAGCACCCACTAGAGCCAGGTGACCTGGCCAAGCCTGGGGTGGGTACTACCAGGAGCCATGGCAGTGCCCTCCCTGAGCACTTCTGTAAGGACAGCTTATCCAAGACACCGTCTACGTGGCCAAGATGTCGGGTCACAGTCCCCAACAATATTCCTCACGGACACTCTGGCTCTGGGGCCCCAGGCAGTCAAGTCTCCCTTCTGAAAAGCCCCTCGCTTCATTGAATTCAAATTAAGTATATGTGTGTGTGCACGTGTGTGTGTGCTTGCACATGTACAAAGGAGCTTTTCCACTTCTCACTAGGCCTGTTTTTCTGCAGCATGAGCTGCTGCCCATCTGTAGACAAGGGTTTTCACTTTCCATGGAGTGTGCAAAGATGGAGAAATCCCATTCGGCCTGCTTCCCCCAAGCAGGACAGTGACCAAGGAGACTCCGTGGCAGATGTACTCCCTGGCCTGCCAACGTTGAGCTTTCTCGGTGACTCCTGGGGCCAGTGACTTTTGCTCTCTGAATGGTGCTAGAAACTAGACTGTGGTCTGCTCCTATGCCCTGGCTGAGTGTCTCGTGGCAGGCTTGAGCCAGAGTAGCCCCCAGCTAGCAGATCGGGTATCTGGGATTGGGTGGGTCTGCTGAACCCAGACTGGTCGACCTTGGTATGCTTGCTGTGAGAGTCTCTTAATTTTTACCTAGCGGCCTTTTTCCTATTCATCCCCCAAAGCCAAGTTTTATCAAGATCCAGGCATCCCCAAGAAAGGCAGGACCTGGCAAGGCCTTGGGGGAGTCAGACACCCTGGTTCTGGACACCCTGGTTGCAGGAAGCCTCAGTGCCCAGCAGGACACATGCGGTGGGTGCAGGAGGAGATGCAAACGGCACCTACTCAGTGGCGAGCCGCCAGCCCCACAGCACTCCATGGGCAGGGAGGCTGCAGGTGCCACCTCCTGAGGCCCTAAAGGAAACTTGTACACACAGATCACGCAAAGCAGTCCCCAGCCTTGTGTTTCCTGAGCATGTGGGAAGGAACAGACAGTCCCATAGAACTGCGGCAAAGAAACTGACCAGCTTCAACACAGTCATGGGCCATGCCATGGTGGGAATTCAGACTGATGGCATTTTCTGGGCACTTCAAGGTCTGAAGGCACACATGGAAACGTGTTGCCTTCCAGAGTCAGTCCCTTACAGGCAGAGCCCGGGAGCGGGAGCTGATGCCCTCGGCCTGTGTGAGGTGTACGAAGGCTCAGTGCCCCTGTGGGCCCAGACCGGGGGGCACTGGAACACATGGTCTCCTCAGCCAGTTCTGAGGGTGTGCGGGGGAAGGATCCCACCCCGCCCGACTGCGTGGAGACCCCGAGCGTTTCCTCAGACCCCCTCTTTCTGCAGGGTGCTGGTGGACGCGGCTGTGGTGGCGAAGGACACCGTGGTGTGTGGCTTTGAGAACGAAAACACAGAGTGGTGCCTGGCTGTCTGGAGGGGCTGGGGAGCCAGGGAGTTTGACATTTTCTATCAGTCCTACGAAGAGCTGGGCCGGCTGGAGGCTTGTGCACGCAAGAGGAGGTAAATCCTGCAGAAGAAGCTTGGTGTGGCCCAGCCGGCCGGACTGCAGACTGCAGACTGCAGCCTCCAGCCTCCAGCCTCCCTGCCTGCTGCTGTGCTCCAGGACCCAGAAGTCTGATGGGGTTTTCTCCTAACCCCATGCTGCTAAAGAGTGCTGAGACGTTACTGCCTGCTGGTGGGGTGGGAGTTCTCAGGTCCTGCAGGGCAGTTACCTGAACACACCACCGCCCTATTGCTGGTTTTACAGCCCAAGGGGATACAGTGAGGTCCTCAGGAGGCACCTCTCCTACCCCTCCACTGGCGCCAGAAGCAAGGGAGGGGGACCCCACTGTGGGCTGGGTCCCACAAAAGGAGGCAGGTCCTCCTTGGCATACTGGAGCTGCCCAGTTTTCAGCCCCAAGTGTCAGAAGGAATTACACTAGAGTCTCAGTTGAGAAGCAGTTTGGGCAGGGCAGGAGGAGGGCTGGGCCCTGCCCCTTCCCCCAACACCCCAGCCTCTCAGCTCCAGAGTCCCCAGAGCACGGGGCCGGTTTGGGCAAGCCCAGATCAGGTGTCTCTGCTCAGTGAAGCCTGTGTGGGAAACCCCTAAGCGCACCCTAAGCGCACCGGCGAGGACTGTCACCCAACCTGGGGAATGAATGAGGTCCTTTAAGTGCCGCAGCCAGAAAGCCCAGTGTGAGAGCACTCCCAAGCCCTTGCATTCTTCTCCCACCAACAAAAGGAGAGGGAAACCCCATCCCCGGGGCTGGAGAAAGGGCCTTGTGTTCACAGCCTGGTAAAGTAAACTTGGACGAAGCTGGAGCACAAGCCCTGTTTGTTTGCACATCATAATCTTGTTTATCACTTTAACAAATTAAGTAATATCTCAGCGGTTACCTCTGGTTGTGAAATCACATTGTATGGGGCTTATACCAAATTATGTATTTGCTAAACATTTACTGCACACATGGATGGCAGACTGAAAAGTTAAGTTGTTCACAGGGGACGGGTGGGCACAACAGCAAGCATTTGTATAAATCGTGCACACACACACACACACACACACAGACACACGTGCACACATAGCCATGTCTTTGCCAAGAGTGATCATTGAAGGCTGCTTGATCTAGGGTGGGGAGTTAGGACATGAGATCAAACTCTCCCTTAAGTTCTTGAAACTTTGCTAAAATTAAATTATGAAAATCAAATGTGAGATTTGCTGGGGTGTGCAGGCCCATGTGACTCCTTTTATCTGAAAATAAACAGACTCCCAGAATGCAGCCGTGGACTTGTCTTTTGAGCACTGTGACAGCAGCGCAGGCTCCATCCTTCCCAGGCAGGAGTGGGCACCCCCACTGCTCACTGCCGATGGCCTGCAGCTGCCCCTGGCAGTTCATGGGTCACAAGCCTGGGCTTCCTTTTCTGAGCCTGGGTCCCAAGTCCTCAGGGATGGAAAGTTTGTGCCTCTCATTTCCCTCCCCACTTTCTCCCACACTGCTCCCCAAATGAAGTCCAGTTCCTGTCTGGTGCCCTCCCAGCTGTGCCCTCTGTCACAGACCTGCAGCCAGGCAGCTTTGTGGACACCCAGGCTCCCCCACAGCCCAGACCTCTTCCTCCTGCCATGGGCACAGTCCTGCCCTGAGCTTGGGCCCCTGTGAAGAGAGCCCCACAGAGCCGGAAGAGCGGACTTCTTCACAGCATGTTTAGTAACCATCCAGGAAATGGCCAGTGAACTTGGCTGCTGAAAGTTAGGAATTTAAATGGAAAAATGACTGCATAGTCCAGAGGTGGGCAACCAACTGGGAAAAAATATTTGCAGTGAAAGAGAAAAATAGAGCACTTACATTGCATGCAAAGAATCTGTACTTCTCAATTTAAAAAAGAGACCTATAGGAAAATGGGAAAGGGCTGAACAGGCAACTGTCACAAAGAAATGCAGACTCATAAACTGGCCTCCATGCCAGCCTCCACCCAGCAGTCAAGAAGACAGCAATCATGCCATCTGCCGCCCTCATACTGCAATGACACAAGGGTCAGCAGTTACTTCTTGCACACCCGCTAAGTGTGAGACCCCATCACTGAGACACGGGTTCTCATACAGATGAGAACCTCAGCTTCTAGGAGCTTCCTTCTGCTGTGCAGGGTGACAACACAAAATGACCGAGGCACTGCATTTCACTGACGCTGGGGGACACCTGCCTGGGGAGGTGCCATCTGAGAAAGGCATTTGTGTGGGGTTCTCAAGGCCCCAGGTGGAAGGCTTATACATGCAAAGGCCCTGTGGTGGGGCTGAGCTGATTCACTGGAGAGAACCATGAAAGCTGGAGTGGCTGACTTGTGAAGACAGGAGAGCTCAGGGACTCACCAAACATGGAACTATAGCTGTGAATCTCTGTTGCAGCTTCTGGCAGTTTTAAGCAGGACTCAGACAATCTTTCAAAAAAAAAACCTTGACTGCTTGCGTGGAGAAGGAGAGACCAAAGAGAAAGTGATCTACATGGGATCGTTCATGAAAGGGCATTTGGGCAGAATCTGCAACCATTTCAAATGCACACATACACTGTGACCTGGAAGTTCCACCTACCTATTTAACCCTGAAATATGTGTGACAGTCCTCAAAAATACAGAGCAACGGTGTCGTTGCAGCAATTCCTCATAATGGCTTAAACAAGAAACCTCCCAAGCTTCTCAGGAGGGAGGTCATAAATTTCTGTACGAGTGACAATCTGATGCTCTGCAACCTGACAAGAAAAGGCAGTGCTGAATGCCCTGCCCTGAAATGCTCTCTGAGGTATAGTACGCATACTGTGTCCTTAAAAAGCAACTTGCTGTACAGGGTGTATTTAGTTACCCTTTGTATAAAAAATGTCCCAGAGCCATGCCTGTGCACATGGAAACTATCCGGGAGGATGCTGAGAGCTTTGTACACTTAACAATGCCTCCGGGGAAGAGAATTAGGGCTGGCATAGGAGGAAAGGCCCTTTATTTTCACTTTATACCTTTCCCCTACACTCTGAATTGCATGCATACCGTTTTATGGTGGTGATCCAAGCTGAAAGGGATTTCTGCCCTGGACCCCAGAAAGTGCCTTACCCTGAGTCCATTGGGACTTGGGAGTATCGGGTCTGTCCTGGGCAAGGCCAGCTCCCCAGCAACCCTGTCCTATCGGTCTGACCTCCAGTCAGGGCTGAGCTGAGCTGTAACCACCCTGGCTGTCCGGGCTGCAGACACAGCCCCAGTGGATGTGCACAGGACCGGACAGGTGAGGAGCTAGGGTCAGCCACCCAAGGTCAGTGGGTTCTGATGCTGGTGCCCCCTCGTCCTGGCATCAGGAGAACACACAGCCCTGGAACAGGGTCAAGGCCTCCCCCCCGCCAGCAGACTACACTCAGGCCCCTCCCAAATGCTGCCCTGCAGCCCAGAAAGCAGCGACCTGTTGGATGCGCTGCTCGCTGGCTGGACTGGCACCACCTTCCCAGGCCACAGATGCCGAAGCCTGCAGGATGCTGGCAATGACCCTACCTGGGAGGGGTAGCAGACCCCACTTCTCTGTCCGCCAGGGCCGGAGTGCATGCTGCGAGGCAGGTCGAGCCTCCTGCAGGAAGCATTTGGGCAGCCTCGGAGATGTAACAAACTCCCCAAGGCTCAGGAAAACCCGCAAGCCTGAACTCCCAGAAGTGAGCGTGCTGCAACCCTGGAAGGAAGGAGCACATCTTCCAGCAAGTCAGGGCCTGGGGCCTGGCACTCTGCACCTCTAAACGACGAATGATAGTTCCCATCAGCCAAGTGGGGCCAAGTCTAGGGAGGAAGGGGAGGAGTGCACCAGCTCCAGCAGCACTCTGACGAGCTCTGGGGAGAAACTGCTCACTGCACCTTCTGCTCAATAGCAGACCTTGACAGTGCTGGCACTGAAGTTTCCCAGGCACCTTTGCAGGCAGGCCTGGGCCTGGGGCTGAGCTCCATCCAGGGCTGAGTGGACACGATGGAGAGGGGCTGAGTCAGCAAGAGCCCTCCCTGTTCCTTGTAAGAACAACACAGAGCTCCTCCTTGGGGTGCTGGGAGCCCCCTAGAATGGTGACAGGAGGCGGCTTTCTGCGCCAGCCCTGGCTGCACACCAACAGCTTCTCATGACATCATGAGATAAATAAAATAAACCAAAACTTCCTTGTTATGCCTGCAACTTTCAGCTCCCAGTGGCTACAGCCCAGTGCAGTTCCTTAGTGTTCAGATATATTTTCCACTAACCCTCCCCGCGCACTGTAAGTTCCCACGTGCCTGTGTGTGTTCAGGCAGAGAGGCTCACAGGGTGGCTGCACAGGCCCCAGCACTGACTTCTGCAGCCACGAGAGCAGGGGATGATCTGTGATCTTTCCCTGGGGCAATAAGCAGTCATTTTATACCAAAACACAGTTGTAAAGGGGACTGGGATTCAGCCTCGTCCCTCACCACCAAAGGCCCAACTGTAGGGTTTGATGGCTTTGATGACAAGTTGAAGTCTCACCTTGAGCAAGCTGCCCACTTCTGTGGCCCTGGTTTCTCCTTCGTGAAACAGCGGTGACTGTCCTCCTTCCTTTAGGAGGGGCCAGGGGTCAGGGGCCCTGGCCCTGCACCCACCCAGCCCCAGCCCCTCCGTGAAAGCTTCCCTGAGAAGCAGGCATGGTCCTGTGGCTGTGAAATAGCCCGCCTGTCAGAATAAACCTGTGCTTTCTGAAGTATCGGCCAGACTTTTACTAACTCCTTTGTTTGATAACTGAGTTAATGTGCACACACAAAAATAGACTGATTCATGTATAAGATGATAGCAATATTTGGGGGTCTCATTTGGGGGAATATATTTAGAAAAGTGAAATAAAAATAAGATAAAATTTCCACCTGGCCACTGACAGTTGCTGTCACCCCAGGGCAGTCACCAAGGCTCATGTGCAGGCTGTATTCTGTAGTCCACAGTGGTGGGTCAGTGTGTGGGGTAAGGCCCTGTGACTGGGGCTGGCCTAGCAGTGCTGAGAAGGGACATCTGTCACCTGCATTGCTTGCCTGAGCTGGGGGTGCTCAGGCAGCCTGCATCCTGAGGAAATGACCCACAGCGCTCAGACAACCCACAAAGATGGAGGGGGCCTGGGGCCTTTGTTACCACAGCTCACTCAGCCCATCCTGAAGGACTGATGGCTCTACCTGCTCCATCTCCCCCAGACTGGTAGCACCTCAAGGGACGGGGCAGAGAGGAGAGGATGACCCTGGCAGAGAAGTTCCACTGTGAAAGAAAGGTGTGGGCGGGTGGCCACCTGCCATGTGAAGGTGGAAACATCACAGAAGCTTCAAGAAGACAGACAGGAAGGGACTCGGACCTCTGGGATGGACTCTTGTTGTCATGAGTACGGCCTATTAAAAAGGAAGTGAGGGCCAGGGACTTAGCTCAGTGGTTCCGCCGCCTGCCTTGTGAGCACAAGGACCCGAGTTTGATCCCTGGCACCAAAAATAAGGAAGTGAATGCATACGGTCATCAAAGTTCCATCATCGAGAGTGACCTAAAGAGTAGCGCTTTCGTACATCACCAAAACTTGCACTCTTCTAGGTCTGGAACCTACGACTGAAGCAAGACCATGAGCCTGTGTGCACACATATGCACTTATACAGATACTCACACATGTTCACTACACACATCACACACAAATACTCACCGTACCGCACCCACACGCCTGTACTGTGCACGCAGATGTACACATATGGGCGCACACAACAAAGCGTACAGTGGGCCTGGGACGGGCCGGATATTCAAAGGCTTTTAGGGCAGCAGTCAAAAGCCAAAGGAGCTGTCCGAAGAGGAGCTCGCTCTGGCCAAGCTGTGGTGATTGCTAACTGACTATTGAAATACTACAGTGCAGAGACGTGCACTGAAAGGCAGCGGTGCACAAAGAACAAGTTACTGCAAAGCGTATAAATGGTAGCTGGAATTTAGAAGGGAGCTAGATCTCACAGCACAAGTGCACTCTGCAATCGCTCTGAGGGCTGGAAGTGTGATCCTATAAACAAGTGGGTGCAGTTCCTTCCAGCCATGCATGAGATTAGCTTGTAAAACGTGGCTCCTGCATGGGTAAAAGGAAGAGTGAACATGGGGCACACAGTCTTGGAAGGAGTAGGTCTTGCTGCTCAGTGGCTACCCTGACCCCCAGCGAAAGGGGGTGGCCAGCAGTGATGGCCAGCAGATGCGGAGAGCCGGCTGTCCCCAGACAGTCCTGAGAGAGATCTTCGCACCCGCCCTTGCCACACAGCTGAG